GTTGTTATCGGAAGTTTTACATCATTTTTTGGTTTTGTTATTAGCGTCTTGTCAGCTCTATGGTTCCTGAAAATATTCTCCCAGTTTATATCTTATCACTTCACTGTTTGTGTAAAGTCTTTTGATTAACAAAAAGTTAAAAATGTTTAGCAAGTCCCTTTTATTTGGTCGTTTGCGGTTTGGGCTTTTGTTGTTTTATTAGGTGATCCGCTGTCGAAAGCTGGGGCTGACTGCATTGCCCCTGTTAGTGCATCTAACAATTTCATGGCGTTAGTATGCACATTTCGGTCCTCAATCCATTTGAAATGTGTTTTCCTGTTTCATTTTCTGCATGTGGAAATCCAAATTTCCTACTACCATGTATTGAAGATACTGTTCTTTCCCTACAGAATAGACTAAATGCTTTTTTAAAAAATAGGTTGGGCACAGATGTGTGTGTTTATTTCTGGAATCTCCTTTGTATTTGATTGGTTTATGTATCTATTGTTAGAGCAATGCCAGACTGTTTTGATTACTAACACCGTGCAGTGTGTTTTAAAGTCAGGATATGTGAACCCCCTCCTCCTTTCTTTCCGTGTGACTTTAGCTACTCGGCGCCTCTTGCCATCTCCCAGGTAAAATTGAGGGATGGTTTCTTCTATCTGTAAACAAGGCTGATGGAATTTTGATTGGGATTGTGTTGAATTGATCGAATTGCTTTGTGTAGTATTGACATATTAGCAATATTAAGTCTTCCCATCCATTAGCATGGAACATATTTCCGTTTATGTAAGGCTTCTGTCATCTCTTTCCGCTGTGTTTTACACTTCTTTAATTGTAGAGACCTTACTAGCCCTACTCTGATTTATCCCATGGTATTTTATTCTCTTGGATGCTGGGTCTTGGTTTTGTTTTGTTTGATGCTGTTGTCACTGGAACGATTTCCCTTCCGGATTTCTGAATGCTGGTATGTGGAAGCTCCTGGGACTTTGCTAAATTCCTCTTCTAGCTCAAGACATTTTCTTGAGGACTCTGGGATTTCCTGTATGTAGGATAACATCCTCTTGGAATAATGTTGTCTCCTCTTTTCCAATCTGGGTACTTTTTATTTCTTCTTCTTGTCTTATTGCTCTGGCTTTTATGACAACTTTGAATCGAAGCGGTGGGGCGGGACACCATTATCTCGTTCCTGATTTCAAGGGCAATGAGCGAACTGCCCTCAGTCTTTCTTCACGGAGTTTAACCTTGGCTTTCCATATGTGTCCTGAGTCATTTGGAGGAATTTCCCTTCTATTCTAATCACCGAGAAAGGGTATTGGATTTTTCTGCATCTGGAGAGGTGATCATGTAGTTCTTTTTCTTTGTTCTACTGATATGGCCACTACATTGATTGATTGATTTTTCTAATGTTGAAGCACTGTTGGTATAAATCCCACATGCTTCGTGGCTCATTTTATGATTGGATTTTGTTTGCTGTTACTTTGTTGAGAATTTTTACATTTACATTCATAAGAGATAATGACCTGTAATTTGTTTCAGTGATTTTGTTTGGTTTGGGTATCAAGAGTTCCTGGGGGTAGGAGGGAGGGGGAGGCCAGGAAAAAAGAGGAGCTGATCATAGGCACTCAACTAGGAAGATAATGTTTGAAAATGACGATGGCCACATATGTACAAGTTTGCTTGATATAATTGATTGATGGATTGTTACAATAGCTGTAAGAAAAGAATATCTGTAAGAGCCCCCAATACAATGACTTAAAAAAAAGCAAAGATAAAAACACACACACACACCCCAAAAAAAAAGAAAAAAGGAAAAGTAGGGAGTAGTCCTTCTTTCTGTATCTTCCGAGAGTTTAAACAGCACTGGTGTCAGTTCATCTCTGAGCGTCTGTGGAATTCCACAGAGAGGCATTCTGATGCGACCTTTGTTTTGTTGGGCGGGTTTTCATCACTGATTTCCTTTCCTCGGCCGCTACATGTCTTTGAGAATTTCTGGTCTCGCTTGGGTCGGTTGTGTGCTGCTGAGAACTTGTTCGGTTAGTTTAGATTGTTCAGTTCCTTGCCGTGTAGCTGCTCATAGTCTGTCTTAATCACCGCTTCAGTCGGGCCAGCTTTCAGGTCATCGCTCTCGTTTTCTTTATGCATGCAAACATTCTTTGCATCTTTTCTTTGTCACTGCGGCTAAAGATGTGCCAATTTTGTTGATCTTTTCAATAAAACAGGTTCAGGTTTTATTGATTCTATTGTTTTTCTCTTTTCAATGTTACCTGAGTTATTCCATTTATGCTCCGATGTCTCATTTCCTCTCTTGTGCTAGGTCTGGGCCTCGCCGGCTCTTCTCTGTCTAGTTCTTCAGAGTTGCCGAGTTAGAAAGTCCCATAGCGTTGGCATTGGCTGGCTTTCAAAAACAATTATTATTAATTGGGAGTTAATCCATAATACATAGATAATGTACCACTGCATAGTTTAATCATTTCATGCACAATTGTGCGATTGCTACCACAATCGGTTTCCAAGCATTCTTTTTCTCCCTGGACTCCTTGACATCATCTCCCTCACCCCCACCCCCCACCCCACAACCACTAACCCCCTCCTTCCCCAGAACTCTTACTTGCCGCCCCCGTAGGCTCATCCATCCTGGGGTTCATATCTTGAAAGACAGGAAAACATATCACACAACTTCATGAGGGTGACCTCCAATGACATAACACCGCTGAGATACACCCTAATACGAACAAACAAAAACAAAACAAAACTACAGAAAATGTTGAAAACCAGATCAGGTCCAGCATGCATCAGAGGGGAGAATCAACTGACAAGGTTTTAACTGTTCAAGTCAGAGTTATTTGGCTGGCTGTTTAAGAAGTAGATTGGCAGGTCTTTCTTCCGAGGCACCTCTGTCTGGACTTGAACCTCCAACCTGTCAGCAACTGAGCTTGTGAGCAATTTGCAACCCCCAGGAACTGCTAGGCCCTTAACCCCTGCCCCGAGTCTCTGTCCTTGGCAGGATAGTTATTGTCTGGGGGACACAGGCGAGGTTGGCGTGGCGTGCCTCCAGCCGGTCAGGGATGAGACAGGTCTTCTGTCCTTTCCCTTCTGCACTCAATGAGGGCATTTAGAGGCTACGAAGAGGTCAAGTTCGGAACAATGGTGGATGCTTCTCTGTGCCTGGTATCTGGTATCATGAAAAACGAAGCTGTCAAACTCTCTGTGAGGAGGAGAAGGAGGGGGAGGAGGAAATGGTGAGGGACTGACTGCTAATGGGTGTGGGCTTCTTCATAGAGGATGCAAATACCCTGGAGTTAGATCCTGGGGATGGGGGTACACTTTGTGAAAACATAGAAAACTCCCAAATGCTGAAGTTTAAAATAACCCAAAGCAACTTACTAACTGAACTGGGTTGTGGATGCCATGTGCTGTCTCGTCCGTTCCAGCTCCTCATGAGCTGACAGGATGGAGTCGAACTGCCCTATAGGGCGTCCTGAGCTATAATCTTTTCTTATCCCTCCTCCTGTGGTGCCAGTCATGGGTTTGAACCACCAGCGTTTCAGTTAGCAGCTGCGCTAACCATTGTGCTACCTACCAGTGCTCCTTCATAAAGTTTAAAGCCTAGAACCCCGCCCCCCATGGGGCTGTTCTGCTCAGTCATATCGGGTCGCTATGAGTTGGCATGGCTAGTCCATAGCACAAAACCACCACATTTGCAAGTGTGTGTTACAACACTCATTCAGAGCCCCTTGGTTGGCCAGGCTGTTGAAGGCTCAGAGAAAGGCCACTGCTTCTCTGTGACTTATACACAGGACAGAGAACACCAGAGACCACAGTTCATATTAAGGCAGCTTAATTGTGTGGCTGTATCTTTAAAACCGTGCTCATTGTGAAGAGTTTCTTTATTGAAAGCCTGTTTTCAAATGTAAATGAGTGTTTATTGGGCAAAGGTGAGCTTACTCTTTGGGGACATTCACAGCTCCTGTAGAGGAGCTGTGGGGTAGGTGCTGGGCTACTAACCTCAAGGTAGGCAGTTCAAATCCACCAGCTGCTCAGCAGAAGCAAGGGGAGGCCATTGCTTTCATAATGATTTACAATCTCAAAACCCCTACCAAGAAGTCACCAGGAGTTGGAGTCGATCGGATGGCAGTGGGTTTGGTTTTTTGGTGTGGGAGTGGGAAGGAGCGCGGAAGAGGAACTTTGAGACCAGCTGGGAAGGTGCATGAGAAGGATCCAGAAATTAAAAACCTTCTGGCCTGGAGTGTCTGCCTTCTACCAACAAATCTTAAGCTACTGTTCTTCTAAACAGTGTCGCTCAAAGTGGGTGATACTACGCCATGGTGGGGGTGTGGGGCTTGGGAGGAGCTGGGATGATCCAGAGGGGCTGCAGAAGCAGAGAGCTACACCGGGCCCCAGACCATGGGCTATAGTACAAAAGTTTTTCATTGCCAGGATGGCGCTGGGTAATTTTTTTCTGAAAGCCAGTGGTGTGGGGGTGGAGAGGTAGGCCCAATCCGTTTGGGAACCTAGAATCCAAGACAGGTGGTTTGAGCCCTCCTGCCCGCCCTCCTCCTTTTTCCCTTTTTCTCTTATGCTTATCATAGCCAATGCTTTGATCTCAAGAGGGACGAGGTGGTAGCCTTCTAAGAGTGGTGCCTGCGTTGTTTAAGGTTTTCCAGTAGGCTCTGGTGAGTAATCCCGTCAATGTTAGGACTGGCATCCTCCGTGTGCCAACCGTGAGCCCCTACTCTGAGCCGACACTCCGAGCGAGCTCCTGGTCCTCCTCTCACTGGGAATCAGAGCAAGAACTGTGAAATATCAATACTACTCTGACGAGTCCTGTTCTGATTCTGAAGGCAGTGTTCTCTGTACAGGCTCCCCTATGCGGTATCACATGAAATGAAAGACCTTTACGGGCCACAGTGTGTAGTTGTGTGTATATGGGAAGTGTTGAGACTTAAGAAAATGTGAGTGAAGGAGGACTAAGTGCCCACTTTCTTTTCTTCATTGCTTTTCTCCACCTGGTGAACTAGAGCGGTGTCTTAACAATCAAACTGGGTGGAGACCTCGGCACCTACGTGATCAACAAGCAGACCCCCAACAAGCAGATCTGGCTGTCTTCCCCTTCCAGGTATGTTCAGAAGCCAACCCCCGTCTGCAGCAGACGGCTTAGAAACGCGTGACCATGTGGCCTTTGAGAAAGCGCCATGTGTGTATGTTGGTGATTGTGGAAGCGAATCTTTTCTCGTACAGCATGCCCCATTCTTAGATCAAACTCAAATGATCTGGCTCCCCCTGCTCATCCTTGGGCTACCAGACTCGACCCTGGGTTTGATCATGAGGTCTGAGGTGAGAAGTTTACAACTCTCCAGCCCCTGGCCTCAGCCGTGTGTGTCTGTTTAAGTCACTGCCCTGCCTTTTACAAAGCTTTTTGATGTTGCATAACTTGAGCCTCTTGGCAAGGTTGCACTTTGTCTTCAGAGCAAGTTGAAGTTTGATCTCTGGTTTGTGTGGAGTGGGTCAGCTGAAGGGGTTGCGTTCCATGTACAGAGTCGGGTGGGGTGCCCCGGGGAGCTGGCAAGTGTGGTAAGCTGCTACTTCAGGCCGTGGAATCCTTCCTTGGGTTTTCTATTGATGTCCTTTCAATGCATCGGGATAAAAGGTTGGGTTGGACACGGGCCTGTGCTCTGTCTCGGGGCCTGAGAACGGCAGGGAGAGCCGGCCCTCATCACTCAGGCTGCTGCTAAAGTGCCTGTAAGAAATGAAAGAGCCCTGGCAGACGAGCCAGAACATTCCTTAGCGCTTCCAAAGGAATTCACGGACTTTATGAGTCTGAAACATAACCAGCCAGGGATTCTTTAAAAGTCTAATGGTATTTGAATTAAAAAAACAAACAAGGATAACCTTGCCTTGCCCTGATGTTGGCATCAGTTAATATTATACCACTTCCCATGCTGTGACGTCCAAGATCCTACTTCTGTTAGAATAAATCAAGGGCTCTCCCTCCTCCATCCTAACCTTATGGAGAGAGTTTGTAGGGGCCCCGACTCAGCAACCCTATGTGCGATGGAGCAAACCCGCCGGGCCCTGCGCCGTCCTCACAATTGATCTTACGCTTGAGCCCTTCGCTGCAGCCACGGTCGATCCATCTCGTTGAAGATCTGCCTCTTTGTCACTGACCTTCTACTTGGCCAAGTCTGATGTCCTTTTTCAGGGACTAGTCTCTCCTGATCCATGCCCAACGTGTGTGAGACGAAGTCTTGCCCTCCTGCCTCTAAAGAGCAGCCTGGCTGTACCGCCCCTCAGCCAGAGTGATTGGTCTTCTGGGAGTCCGTGGTCCGTAGCCTCTAAATCCAGTGACTGGAGTCTTTATCGCGGAGACACGGACACGGGAGAATGCCGTATGGCTACGGCGGCAGGATTAGGGTGACGCAGCCACAAGCCAAAGAACACGTATCATTGGAGGCACGGGGTGCTCGGAAGAGGCGAGAAAAAAATGGACTCTCTCTTAGAGCCCTCGTAGCCCTGTCAAAGTCTTAATTTCGTACTTCTGGCCTCCTGAACTGTGAAAGGTTAAGTTTCTGTTGTCTTTAGCTGCCCAGTTTGTGGCCCTTAGCCACACAGCGTTGCGAAACCCCAAAACCAAACCAAGCCAACTGCCATGTGCCTGATTCCAGAGTACTGGCATCCCCTTGTGTGTCAGGGTAGAACTGTGCCCCAGAGTTTTCGGGGTCTGATGTTTCCGAAATGGATCACCGGTCTTATCCCAGGGTATCTCTAGGGGAACTCACCTGCCTGTATTTAAGCCCCAGCAGTTGATTGATAATAGACGCACCTACCTTGATGTTTTCAAAGCCCTCACAGATGTTTCATGTCTAAACTTTTCTCTCTGGTAACCTCCTCCTGGTCCCCATCTTTGGAGACTGTCTCCCCAGGGCTCTAGGTAGATTTGGGTCTCTTGGCTTGAGGACTCCCAACATGCTCTGCTCTCACCTCTGCCCAGATGTCCCCTCATGCCCACATCTCTGGCAGCCTCAGGCTTCTCCACCAAACTGTGAGGGGGAATCAGCAGGCACAAGTTGTAGACATCTGGAATAACTAGACATGGCAAGAACTAGCACACAAGGGTTTACACCCACATTTCCCAAAGGCTTGGACCACTGTAGTGCCCTAAGTGAGCTTGATGCAGATGGGCCAGCCTGTTAAACTCACCATTTCATGAATTTAAAGTTGGCTTAAGAAAAATATTTTTTTAAATAGTAGTATAGGAGGGAGATTGGGAAGTAATTGCTTAACGGATCTTTCTGGAGTGATGAAAATGTTTTGGAACTAAAGATTCCTGAGTGGCTGGTAACCAATGGGTTGGCGGTTCAAATCCACCCATCGAGACTCTGGGAGAAATGGACCAGGTGCTCTGCTTCCGTGAAGATTACGGAAACCCTGTGAAAGCCCTCTACATGAGACCAAAATGATCCCCAAACTTTAAAGCAAAGGTACTACTGTAAGAGGACAAGGAAGCTAGATGAACGGAATCCAAACAACCAGAAGGGAAGTCCGCAGATGACGAAGCCCTGAGTGTGAACGAGGCCCGCCTGCAGGCTGTTTCAGGTGGAGCACCTTCTAGGCAGCACCTGGGGAGGTCTGTTTTCTAGTCCAGTCTGCTGCTCTCTGTGTTTTGATGGATGCATTTAATCCATTGACATTCCGTGTCATTGTTGACATATGCAAGTTTGTTGCTGTCCTTCTGCTGTGTTTGTGTTTGGTTGAATCGTGCACTTTAAGATCGTTAGCTTTATGTTGCATGAATTTCGTCTAAAAACATAATCATAACATAGGGAAGGCCAGATCCCGTCAATGGCACACAAATGGCCACGATTTTCAAAACACTGGTCTGACGGCTCTGGAGGCCAGTGGGAGCCCTGGGGAGATGGTGGCCAAAGATGGGCACCAGGAGTCTACTCCTAGACAAAGCCTCTGGTGAATCCCCTCCAGTCAGAGTTCTTATTTTAAGAAATCATTTTATTGGGGGCTCTTACAGCGTTTATAACAATCCATGCATCACTTGTATGTTGCCATCATCATTTTCAAAACATTTGTTTTCTACTTGAGCCCTTGGTATCAGATCCTCTTTTTTTTTAATCATTTTATTGGTGGCTCATACAACTCTTATCACAATCCATACATCCATCCATTGTGTCAAGCACATTTGTACATTTGTTGCCCTCATCATTCTGAAAACATCTGCTTTCTACTTCAGCCCTTGGTATCAACTCCTCATTTTCACCCTCCCTCCCACTCTCATGAACCCTTGATAATTTATAAATTATTACTATTTTCATGTTTTACACCGACCACTGTTTCCCTTCACCCACATTTCTGTTGTCCGTCCCCCTCAGGGGTGAGGGGGGTTTGTACATCGATCATTGCAATCAGTTCCCCCTTTTTCCCCCTTGTCCCCCCATCTTTCCTCTACCCTCATGGTATCACTACTCTCATTATTGGTCCTGAGGGGTTTATCTGTCCTGGATTTTATGTGTTGAGATCTCTTATCTGAACCAGTTGTTTAGCCAGATTTGTAAGATAGAACTGGGGTCATGATCGTGAGAGGGGCTGGGGACAGAGGAAGCAGTGCTATACTGCACCCTGGCAGGCTCATCTCTTCCTCGTGACCCTTTTGTGAGGGGATGTCAAGTTGCTTACACATGGGCTTTGGGTCTCTATTCTGACCCCCCTCGTTCACCTTGAAATGGTTGTGTTGGGTCTTCTGACGCCTGATACCTGATCCCATTAACACTTCATGATTACATGGGTTAGTGTGCTTCTTCTATGTGAGCTTTGTTGCTTCCCTGCTAGATCGCCGCTTGTTTAACTTCAAGCTTTTAGGACCCCCAGACGCTATATCTCTTGATAGCTGGGCACCATCAGCTTTCTTCACCACATTTACTTATGCACCATTTTGTCTTCAGTGATCATGTTGGGAAGGTGAGCATCACAGAATGCCAGGTTATTAGAACAAAGTGTTCTTGCACTGAGGGAGTCCTTGAGTAGAGACCCAATGTCCATCTGCTACCTTAATATTTAACCTATAAATATATGTACATAGACTAAGGTGACCAGATGTCAGCCGTGCTCGGGTCTTGAGAATTGCTCTGGACGTTGGTCCAGAGGTCAAACAGGTAAGTATTCGTAAGGCGAGGCAGCAGACGTGTGCCTGGTGAAGTACTATTTCTAGACCTTCAGTGAGTCCACTTCTGGTGGCTCCCCACTAAGGGGCTGTCCTTGTGGGCTCACTGTGTGTCTCTTTTGTCTTCCAGTGGGCCCAAGCGTTACGATTGGACTGGGAAAACCTGGGTGTACTCCCACGACGGCGAATCCCTCCACCAGCTGCTGGCCACCGAGCTTTCCAAAGCTTTAAAAACCAACCTGGACTTATCTTCCTTGGCCTATTCTGGAAAAGACTCTTGATGCCCAGCCCCATTTTAAAGACATTAAAAGCTATACACCCAAGACCACAGCTTTGTTCGTAGCTGAGTCTATTCTCTCACATCCCTGCCTTGGGGGACAATTGCATGGTCATGTCACAGCTCTTTGAAAAGACTGTCTTCCATCCCACCCCCAAGGCCTGATTTCTTCATGTCTATAAAGTTGGGTTCCACTCCCCCACCCCCAGTTGCCTGACTTCTGCCCTTATTGACCTCCCTGTCTTTCTAAATGTCTTCACACCCATACTTTACCAGTATAACTTCACAGCAAAGAAAAAGACTAATAAAGAAAAGTTCTGCAAGGAGAAATAAGTTGACTTCCCTCTACTCTTTGAAGGACAGGACGGCAAAGCCAGCAGGAAGAACGACTGGCCCCCCTCACTCCTCGCTCTCATGGGGAACCATATGGAAAGGGGGCCCCATGGACATTCCCACAGCTGTTTGAAAGGGTAAACACTCCATGTGCCAAAGGCGACATGGAAATTCTCAAACTAAAGACCATCTTCCATTCAGGCTTTGTGACTCTGACGGGGTGTGGCCTCTGCAGGAAGATGTGCAGGTTTTTCCATAGAGGAGGGGAGCTTCAAAAGGTTTGTGGGAAAAGAGAATTTAAAAGGAAAGGAGGTTTTTTTGGTTTGTGTTTAGATAGTCCTTTTGAAGTCCCTTCAAATGCACACATGCACACCTGGAAATAGATGTGTGTTAGGATTGAATGTATAATGTATAGTACTGCTGAAATACTGGTGTCCGAGAATGAAAAGTTAAGTCCCAAGACACGTTCATTACCATAAGAACCTGGGTGAGGGGGTGGAGGAGGGTTGGAGTGAGACGGTAGACAAAGACAAGCCTGGGTGCTGAGGAGACACATGGTTAATTGTGAAGAGTCACAGAAGGAGAGAGATGTTTGCACTGGTAAACAGAACCCTGGTCCTAGACTTAGCTCAAACTAGTGTTCCCTCTCTCTCTAAGCAAGCATCATAAACTTCCTGCACCGCCGCTTTCCCATCTGTGAAGTGGGAGAATTGAACGAGATGGAATAGTTGGCTTCCAGACAGCCTCCCAGGCTAGCTTTTATTCCCTCTGGTCAATGAGGGGTGGCAGTGAACAAACAGCTTTTTAAAGCTACCCAGTAGATCCATTGCCTCTGGTCAGTTGACTTCATGTAATAATAATAACCATGCTTGGTTGTGTCTGTACTGTGTTAAGCCTGTTATACTACATACCCTTGTCTTAATCTTTACTGACATGCAGTTTGTACGTGAAGAAACCACGGGACCCAAAATTAAGCTCAACCTCTGTCATTTTCTTAATAAAGCAAGATTTATTAGGGACACATCTAGTGACTGTAACCAAGGCTTTTTCAGTGGCTGAAAGCAAGACACGTTTCAGCATAGAAGAAAAAAGAGATTTAACAATAGAACTGTCTAAGCAGATGTTACGTGGGGATTTAATTTTTTTCCTTTCTTCAAAAAATAGAATTATTTTTGAGTCCTGTGACAGTTTCTAAATATGGTAGGTCAGGACCAGTGAGAAAATAAATAAAACTGTGTTGTGTGCGTGTCTTTTTTTTAAAATCTCACAACTTTATTATCCATAAAAAGGAGAAGTAGTAATCACAGTAAGGAACTTGGCAGATAACACCATGATCAATTGATCAAACATCTCATTTTTGTGATATGAATTTCAAAGATTAATTGACCCGTTCAATTGTGGCATTGACAAGAAATACTGAATATGGAATTCAAAAAGTGGACAAATCTGTGTTTGAAGAAGTACAGTCCGAATGCTCCTTGGATGGTGACTCTTCTGCATAAGTTCGGCATGTTATCAAAAGAGTACAGTCTTTGTGGAAGACATCATGCTTGGAAAAATAGAAATCAGCCAAAGAGAAGACAGACCATGGGATAGACGGAGACAGCGGCTACAACAATAGGTCCATGTGACACAGGAGCAGAAACGTGTCCTTATGTGATCCATATGGGCCTTCATGAGTCAGAACCAACTCCGTGTCTGTTAACAACAACTGCATTAGAATATAGAACAGAATGGCTTACTAACCCAATCATTCTGCATTATATGTACACACAATGTGTGTATCTTCTAATGAAGGTTTTGTCACCCCTCATTTGTTTGGAATGCTGTTAAATGGTCCACTCGCCTATGAGACACAACAGCAGAGTAAGCAGTGTGCTGCCAGGCTGCTGTAACATGAACATGGAAGGTATGGAATCAGTACCTTTCCACAGTCCTTATGAGCTTGCCATTGGGGCCTGTTTCCACGCAGTCTTGCCCACTGACCTTAAGTAGATTCCCACTCATAGTGTGACCGTTTAGGACCAGGATGGGGGACCTTGTATCTGCCAAGGACCATTTGGATATGTTTAACATCATTTGAGGACCATACAAAATTATCCATTTAAAAATTGGCCTGCTACATTTAATGAACTCACCCCTAATGTGATGGCTGGGATTGCTTCTATTTGGTGAGACGTGTGATGTTAGCTGTTATTGATGATTTTGGGGACCTTATACAGCTGGTGGGCTGGATGTTCCCCAACCCTGCATTAGGACAAGGGACAGCTGCTTTCTCAGGTTTCTGATGCTATTAATCTTCACAGAAGCAAACGCCCTCATTATCTGCAGGGGCAGTTGGCAGGTCTCGTGCGAACTCCCAACCTTTTGGTTAACAGTCCAACCCTGTGCCATTGAGGCTCCTTACATATCATCCTAACTAGTTCAATGATCGAGCTTGGGCGGGCCTGGCAGCTAACCCTTTAGGAAAGAAAGAACTACAAACACAGGAACAGCTGCCAGGGGAAGGAAGCTACGCCGAATTTGAACAAGCAATTTGGAAAGTCACCACAATGTGGAGCCAGTAGCCCCGACACCTCGGTCCCTGAAGGAGTCACCTCATTGATAGTGACAATCACGCACGCTAAGGATGATTGCCCAGGAAAAAGCTCTGAGATCCTCAGCATAACCTGAAGAAGTCAAGCTAAGGTGTAATACCGTTTTAGAAAGCTCTTTCTATGGTTAGCTTCTTGACAAACCCAAGGCTTCTTGACTGGGTAACCTCTTAGCCACGTAGGAAATAAAGTGATCCTGAATGACTCATCTACCTCTCTGATGGGGCAGAGGAGGAGCCCTGGTCATGCAGAACTGCTTCACAGGAGAAAGATCTGCCAGTTTGCTTCGGTAAAGATTACGCTTCCTACAAATCCAACTAGACTGGAGCATGCACCCTGGTACAGATAAGAGCTCTCAACACACCGAATCCAGGACAGACAAACCCCTCAGGACCAATAATGAGAGTAGCGATACCAGAGGGGAAGGGGAAGGTGGTGGGAGAAAGGGGAAACCAATTGCAATGATTGAAAGTACAACACACACACCCCCTCCAAGGGAGCAAACAGAAATGTGGGTGAAGGGAGACAGCGGAGGGTGTAAAATATGAAAATAAAAATAATTTATAAATGATCAAGGGTTCATGAGGGTGGGAAGGAGGGGACAAAAGAGCTGAAGGCAAGGACTCAAGTAGAAAGAAAATGTTTTGGAAATGATGATGGCAACATATGTACAAATGTGCTTGATACAATTGATATATGGATTGTTATAAGAGCTGCAAGAGCCCCCAATAAAATGATTTATTAAAATGGAAAAGCATTACACTTCTTCCAATTCTGCTAGAATTGACTTTCTAGCAGTTCTCTGTATATGTACTGCACTTGGTCTTAGCCAAAAGGCCGAGAAGCGATTCTGTCTATGTGCTGATGCAACTGTTTTGAACGCTCTTCAGCAAAACTTTGCGTGTAATATTAATGATACTACTTTATAATTTCTTCGTTCTATTGAATCACATTTCTTTGGAACGGGCACAAATGTGGATCTCTTCCAGGTGATTGGCCAAAAATCTGTCTGCCGTCTATTTTGGCTGCCATGGTTGTCGAGGGGGTTCTGAAAACAGGAAGTAGGAGGCCTCCTACTTTGTTCCTCTAGCTATCCGGAGCCTCTCCTTTCCATGGAATTTTCTTTTTTAATGATGTCATTGCCTGTCTTTGGTATCAGGGTTACGCTGCCTTCATAAGAATGAGTTAGGGAGAAATTCTAATTCTCTAAAACCATTTCTCTTGCCTCATATAGTTCTGCTTTCTTATTTGTTTGTTGTTGCTTTTGCATGTGTTTGTGATAACATTCATATAACATGAAATTTACCATTTAGTGGCATTTGGTACATTCCCAATGCTGTACAACCATTACCTCTGTCTAGTTCCAAATATCTTCCTCTTGCCAAATGGAAGCTTGTATTCATTTGCAATCAGTCCCCATTGTCCCTTCTCCCCAGTCCCTGGCAACCACTCATTTCCTTTCTGCCCTCCTTGGTAATTATTATTATTTTGATTTGGGTGAAAGTTTACAGAGCAAACTGGTTTTCCATTCAACAATTCTTCCATATTTTGTTTTGTGACATTTTTTCTTTCTTTTTCAAATTGATCATTTTATTGGGGGGTCTCTTACAGATCTTATAACAATCCGTCATTCAATTGTATTAAGCACATTTGTATGTATGTCACCATCAACATTTCCAAAATATTTTCTTTCTACTTGAGCCTTTGGTATCAGCTCCTCTTTTTCCCCTCCCTCCCCCATACTCCCACCCTCGTGAATCCTCGATCAATTACTATGTACTGTATTACTATGTGACATTAATTGCAATCTCCACTGTGTAACAATACTCATCCTCCTTCCTCCCTGTGTTTACTAGTTTCCTTCGGCCTCCCCCCGCCCCCATCTTTTCCTGCCTTCTGAGCTATATCCTTGGGCACATTTTGCCCATTTGCTCTCATATGGTTGGTTGTTTTAATGGGTGTGTGCCTCCCTGGTGTTATTGTTCACTTCACAGGCTCGTTTTTTATTTCATTGAAAGTTCCCAGCTTGAAGGATGCCTAAAGCCTTATCTTGGTGGTTTTCATGGATTTTCCTATCCTAGATATTGCTTATCGATGCAATTGTACAGAAGACGTCCCTTTCTGTCACTTTCTTTCACTGACCCGGCTCCCTGGGGTCTCCCATGCTGTAGCATTTAGCAGTCGTTCATCCTTTGTATGGTGGACGGATAGCACATTTTATCAGTAGACCACACGTGTGTCCATTATCACCTAATAGACACTTAGGTTATTTTGACCCTTAACATTTATTTTTGCCCAGGGGCTCTGGTGACACAGTGGTTAAGCTCTCAACCTAGAGGGAAGGTTGGCAGTTCACACTTACCAGCCACTCCGGGGAGAAAGATGGGACTGTCTACTCTTGAGAAGACTTTCAAAAAACCCCCAAACAAAACAAAATAAAATAAAATAAAAACAGAAAAGACTTTCAACCTTGGAAGCTCTATGGGGTGTTCCACTCTGTCCTGTGATGTTGCTATGAGTCACCATGGACTTGGTGGCAATAGATATTTTTTCTTCTTCATACCACCTAACTTTTGTTTTTTCATCCTTTAAGTTCAACAGTCAAAAAATTTTCCCCCCTTTGAATTTGTTCGGTTGTATTTTTCTTTTTTTCCAACCGTTTTATTGGCACATATTTTACAGATCATGCAATTCTTTTTTAAAAAAATCATTTTATTGGGGGCTCATACAACTCTTATCGCAATCCATCCATCCATCCATTGCGTCAAGCACATGTGTACATTTGTTGCCCTCATCATTTTTTTTTCTTAAAAAAAAATTTTTTTTTTGCCATCATCATTTTCAAAACATTTTCTTTCTACTTGAGTCCTTGGTATCAGTTCCTGAAGTTTCCCTCATGAACTCTTGATAATTTATAAATTATCATTATTTTTTCATGCCTTACACTGACTGATGTCTCCCTTCACCCACTTTTCTGTTGTCCATGCAATTCAATAATTCAATCATCCAATCATATCCAGGAGAACTGAACACTCATTACCACATCAATTTTAGAGCGAGCAACCCCCATGGTTACATCACCTTTAAAATGAGTTGGGCAATCACAATCGGTTCTAGTGCTCCTGCCTCAACAGTCTATTTCAATTCATTAATTAGTTAGTTAATGAATTTTTCTGAACCACACGAGAGCATTTATAACCTCAACGGTGCCAGGTTTGCCGTACTCCTCCCAACGATCCCGAGAAAAATACCGTTCACACAGTTTACAGGTGAAAAGTGGAACATTAAATCCCTTGTAGATCATACTACAATTAAACAGAGAAGATGGTGAACTCAGTCTGATTCTGATTTCAAGTATTGCTCCTCAGAGAAAAGCTACCTCTATGGGCTACCAACACAGGTGATTTCTGACTCCTGGCAGGAGTCGAACCCATGGATTAAAGTCCTGAAAGCCAATTGCAACCCATGTCACCACACCTTCCAGGAAAGCCTTATAAATATCCACAACCCACTGCGCCGCAGCCACAGAACTGGAGCCAGGAATGCTCTATAGTCAGGTGGACCTTCGAATGGGATTCTACAAGAAATCTTCTGATTATCTTTGCCCAGACATGAGGAGTCGAGCATCACAATTTTATGTGCCCTAGG